TACAGTAGATTAGATGTTCCTCTAAAGCAGGGGTTAGAAAAGTAAGGCAGGGGCCAAATTTTGCCAGAGGCCTTTTTTTATATTGCCAAGGAACTGAGAAAGCTTTTTACATTTTAAAAAGATTATAAAACAACTACATCAAGAACAAAACAAACATATGCAACAAGAAACCTTATGTGACTTGCAAAGCCTCAAATATTCACTATATACCTCTTCTAACAGAAAAAGTTTGACAAGCTCTGCTTTAAAGGCTTATTCCTCCTGTTTTAGGATCTTCATCTTAACCGTTCCCTTTGCATCCTTCATCATTGGTCTTCACATGGATGTGTCCTTTTAATTGAGGTGTCATTTCATCACGGCCTTTAGTGACCATCTAATCTAAATACCATACCAGATTCTCTCAGTTACATATCCCCCTTATGTTCTTTATAGCACTTACTTGGTATTTTTTTATTTATATATTTTTCAACAACCAGCTTCCTTACCCCCATATAGAAAGATCTTTTCTTGTTTACTACTTTTGAGTAGTAACTCATTTATTTAGATGGAGGAGAGGAGTAGTGAATGTTGTGAGCCTACTGCTTAGTAGGTACTCAGTAAATGTGCTGAAGAGTGATTAGCAGATTATTTCTACATATGAAGTTTAGGGCTTGTGTTTTCTTTTTTGTCCTTTCTGGGAGAACCTACAGTGCAAACTCCAAAAAACTCCTTTGGAAAGGAGAGGCAAAACAATACCTCTCCCTTGAGGGAACAGATCACTTCTCTTTTCCTCCTCTCACTCTCCCTGGGAGAGGCCATTGCCAAAAGTGTGGGGTGTTTCAAAGGGATGTCTAAAATAATTCTTATTAAAAAACACAAAAACCAAAAGATACAAGACGTTTCTTCCTTTCATCTTTCTCTTTTGAGAGAGGAATTTTTCAGAATAGAAAGACTAATTGAGGTCTCATTCTCTAAGAGACTGAGGGCTTTTGGGTGAAAAGTTTAAGTGGAGGCCTCTGCTTGGGAAATAGATTTAACACTACGAGGAGTCAGGCTTGAGCTAAAAAGCAAGGCGGAGAACACTGAGTAAGGCTTGTTCTAGGTGATCAGGTACAGGGGAAAAACATAAAGGCCCAATACCACAGGTCCTCTATTTTTTGGAGTTTAATTATTTTGGATTGTCAAACCACGTGTTTTGACTTTTGATTTAGGAAAAATATGGTCACTAAAGAAAGAAGCAACGGGAGGCAGAAGCTTGATTGTAAAGGATATGGAACACTGATATGAATCCTCTGGGTTGTACCTGGGTGTGGAAGGAGGTAAGGGATAAGTAAGCTTTAGAGCTTATGTTTTGGAGTCAAATGTACCTGAGATTATTCATCAACTAATGTCATCTTGGCAAATTATTTAGCATTTCTAAGTCCTGGCTTACTTATCTGAAAAATGAGAAGAATGATACCTTCTCTTAGTATGGCAAGTATTAACTGATAAGAAATGTAAAATGCTTATCTAGATGTATACATAGACTAACTGATCAGGTAGTATAAACATCATCACCATCATTGTCATCACCAGATGATGAAATTCAGCCCACAGATGTTGAAACTAACAAAACAATAAATTCTGTATCCTGTAGCAGTTTAAGGATATGTCCCACTGTATTCTGCTTCCATAAGTAAGGAACACAGGATATGGAAAGAGCTAGGATTTAAAAATGTCTAGATAGCAAGATCATTGTTGCTAGAAGAAGCATGGGCTTAATACAACTCGTTTGATTTCCAATATTAAGTGGGAAGGAGACAAGGAAATCTGTACTTGAGTGTAAACACATCTGCATGTCAGTATTAGCTTTGGATTTCATACACTGACTCTTACTGTTTTACAGTTTATTAAAAATGCCCTCATATGCACTAATATAATACTGACTAGGTAGAGTAGCTGTTACTATTATCTCTATTTTATTCTAGAAGAAACGAAGACTGAGAAATTGAGAACAGGTTTTTAGAGTCATGTTGCTGGGTTTGAATCCTGGCTCCTTCACTTCCTAACAGCATAACCTCTGGTACTTGAACTTCCCAAAGTTTCAATATCTTCATCTGTTAAATGGGGATAAGGAAGGTACATATCTCTTAGGGTTGTATGGAATTTTCATCATGTAAACAAAGTACATGGCTTGACAAATAGTATGTGCTCAATAAATATTACTTATTGTTATCTCCCAGGGCAAGGCAGCTAATAAGTGGCAATACTAGTACCTAAATTTAGATAATTGGATTTCACATCCCATGTCCTCCCCACCCACCACCTCCCATAATATAAGTAATATTGATTCCCTGCCACTTTGATATGTATATGTTCCATTAACATTAGGACAAATGGTCTAATCTGATTTTCCAAAAGTGGTAGATGACCCATCTAAAGTATCACCCTGGTACAGTTGGCACATTTATTTGTTTCTCAGCTTCCTCAGTAAGAGAACAGCTATAGCTTCAGGTCAGAGCTATGCCAAGAAGCTCTGGATTTTGGTTCAGCTGTTTGAAACAAAGTTCTGAGGATACCAGTCTGTCACATGAGAAGACAGATAGCCTACATGAAACTGAACCAATGAAAAATATTGGGGACTTAAAAAAGCATGCTAACTAGTGAGTTGGAAGACTTGAATTCTACTCTTGGATCCATCACTTATCAACTGTAACTTGCAACATCTTGGAGCCTGGGTTTCCACATCATCAATTTTTTATTTTTTTAGCTTTATTGAGGTATAATTGACACCCATACCTTTAAAGTGTGGATCCTAGTAGTCATGTGTGGTGCTGTCACTTTTTCCTACAGCCCCTTTGTGGAAATTAAGAAAAGGTGCTGCTTTCTCCAGGCAGATGTAGCTCTGTACCTAAGGCTCATGGGCTTAGTGAGCAGAGCATGTACTAGATTTCAGTCTCTACTAGCCTCCTTGGCCAGCCTTCTGGTGCATTGCACAATCTGCAAAAGTGAAGAAAATGAGGTCCCTGTCCATGCTCTTTGTGCACTGTACAGGGCTGTTAACATCAAGAGAGAGAATGGAGATGTAGGTGTTTGACAAAATCTAGTCCTCTCTGTGAATGTAAAGCATTGATATTATACAAACACTGCTCAGTTTCAAATACTAGGATCCAAGGGCTGCCTGGGTAGACACCCTGACCATTGCCCTTCCTTTTGTTATGATGATCCTTGTGATTCATTAATTTGTAAAGCACCTATTAATTACTACTGTTAAAGCAGAGATTATGGCAAATAAAGGTTTTCTTCATCACTTTAAGGACTGGACCAGCCTTGCTCTCTAGATCCTTGAAGACTTAAATCAGTTCTTTTGATGATTCATCCTTTTGAAGACAGTCATGCTGTTTTCAGAACCCCCTGGAGTGAGACTGGGTCTTGCTCATGGGTGGAATTTGGAATCCTTTGGTTAGAGCTTATCTCTGGTTTTCAAGTAAAGGTCATTATATAAAGGCTTTCTGTCAATCGGAGAAAGAAAAGTTGCTGAACTGGAGTTTGCCTCTTTTTTCACACCTTTGAAGCCCAAGGTGTCTCCTGGGCTATATGGATTAGGTAGGACAAGAGGACCTGCTTGTATGAGGTACTAATAAAAAGGCAGCTTTGGAGTCAGACAAACCTGAAATAAGGTCCTAGTTCTGACACTTACTAGTGTTGTGACCTTGGGCAGGTATATTACCTTACTAAATTTCCATTTTGTCCTCTGGAATTAGGGACACTAACAGTATTTACTTCATAGGTTTATTACATGGATTAAATGAACTAATAGGTGGAAAGCATTTAGCATTGTACACAATATATGTTCCATAAATATGTTAGTTTTTATTAATAATCTCTCTGTAAGGTACTGTACCAGACTTTGAGGAAGAGCAAAATCAACATTTGCAGTGCTTTCTCCCAAGAAGGTTAGAGGTCTAACTGGGGAGTTAACATGATTATACCAGAAAAAGGTAAATAGAAAATCAAAGCAATAAATGTGTGATATAGATAGATTCTATTGTTAGGAACTGGTGTTTGAAGTAAACTCTGAAGAAAGGTGAGATTTGGAAAAGTAAAGAGGATGAGCAGGGCATTCCATATGGGATCGATAACATCAGCAAGGTTCAGGACCATGAATAGACCAATTTGCCTGGAGAAGTGGGGATAAATGCTCTCTGGAAACATAGATTGGGATTAGAAGGGAAGATCCCTAAATACTAGGCTAAGTGACCCTTGTCCTGTAGATAATGATGAGTGACATGATGAAACTTGCAGTTGACACAGTGAAACAGACAGTTGGAAGGCTCTTGGGGAAATAAATGCTCAAAGCCGTAGCTAAAACTGTGGAGATGGAAAGTTGAAACTGTGGAAGCTGGTGATACTTCTTTCCAGCTCCTTGAGAGATGCATGTTGATTCCAGTTCAGTGAGGGCAACTTTTGAACAGCATTACAAGTGAAATGGTGGAACTGTTGGGTAATTTGAAGAACAACTTAAACATTAATTGGGTACGGTTTGCTTCTGTGAAGTCTCCTGAAAGAACTTGTGGCCTTAGAGAATAGTTTTTAAAAAAGAGAATGAGTTACCATAATGAGAATAGGAAAATGAACAAGCTACAGTTGACTATAGTGAGGTAGGCTGTATCAAAAAAACAGTTTGTAAAGGAGAGGATATTGTAGTGAGGGGACTCAATTTGCCATTGGAGAGTCTAAAAAAATAGTGTGGGTTGCTTTTTTTTGATAGTACAAATTTAGTTCCTCTATAAATTCACAGAGTTTTGATGCATAGAACTTCTTACATAAAAATGTCTGGCCTACTGAGCATTATTCAGACCCAAGATAAACACAGAATCATGTAATATATATGAATATGAAGGTTTTTATTTTAAAAAATTGAGATATAATTGATAGATAACATTTTATTAGTTTTAGGTATATAACAATTATTCGACATTTGTGTATATTGCAAAATGATCACAAGTCTAGTTAACACCCATCACCACACAGTTAACACATTTTTTTCTTATATGAACTTCTCTTAGCAATATTCAAATATACAATACAGTATTGTTACCTATAGTCACTATGCATTATATGCATGTATTAATTCTATGACTTACTTATTTTATAACTGGAAGTTTGTTACCTATTGCCCATCTTCATGGATATTAGGTTTTAAAATAAAATTAATTACAATTGAAGTTCTAGAAACATAGGGAACATAGATGAAGGCTGTTCATCTTTTTCTAATAGAATACACACATGAACACATTTATATACCATAATTTAAAATGGAATATCCAGCTAATAAATACAAGCTATAAGTATATAATCTTATCTTCACTATTATCATATGATGGTATGATGAAGAATGACAAAGTATTAAATATATTGGGATGCTGAAAGGGACTTAATTTTGATATATCAAAGAGGAAAGACTTTTTCTACATTAAGTTATTATCAGAACAGTAGCTGTATTATTCTTTGTTGTATATGCTATTCATAATTATTTTCATATTAGTTTATTTCTCAAAGTATAAATTGCTGCAACAGTTCTTAAAGAATTTGTTAATATGTATCAAAAGCCTTAATGTTATGCCTTACAATCAAGTAATTTTTTCTTTACAAATATGGCATAAGGAAACAGTCAGTTTGGAAAACAGTAAAAACTTAGATGCAATTTAAATGTCCTGCAACAGGAGAAAGGGTGAATTAATTATACCAAATTTTAATAGGAATATCTTCATTAAACATTACATGTAGTGTTATTAAACAGTGTTTTTGAAATACCCTTAATGACAAGAGAATTTCTCTTCATCTAATGTTAAAGGCGTGCTCTGAGCCTTTATAAATTGAGGCAAAAGCTTGTACCTTGTTCTTTGATTTGTAAACAGTTTCTTTTATAAAAACAAACTTTTATCCAACAAGCTTTTATCTCTGTGTTTTAGGCACAGTGCCTGGGTTACAAAGATGAATAGAGTCCTGATCCTGGAGCTATTCTAGGAAAGAGATGTGCAAACAGATAGTTGCACTGAAGTATGAAGAATATTGTAATAGAGATATGTGTGTGTTATAGACATATATAAAGGAAGAAATAGCAATTCTGCTCATATGGTCAGGGAAAGTTTCAAAGAGGTAACATTTGAAATGGGCTCTAATGGGTGAGTAGGAGCAGGTGAGCAGAGGTAGACAGGTATCTTAGGCAAAAGGAGTAGGTGCAGAGGCATTACAGTAGAAGAGTATGTGCATTCAAGGGCCTGTCATTGTTTGGTGTGGCCAGAAAGAAGAGTAGATGAGTTAAGTTTGCATTTTATCCTCGACAAGGGAAAAGTAATTATAGAGTTTTAGGGAGAGGCATAACACAGTAAAACTGAATAACTGAGGAGGCCGTATTTGGAAAGGTACTTGATGGAGAGCCATTAGGATATTACTGCCATAGTTCAAGTGAAATACTGTAGTGGCTATGAATGAAGAAGAGGGGATGTCAAGCAGAAATTTAGGAGGTGGAATTACAAGTTTTAGTGACCAATTGGATTTGTCCTTTAGTGATGGAGAAGGGAAAGGATGAAGTCATGTTCAGATTCCTAAATTGAGTGACTACATGGATGGTGGTGCTATTAAGTAGAATAAGGTAAGTTAACTAGGAATAAAGACAGAAGCACTTTTGTGGGAGAAGAGGTGCTGTAAGATCCTCAGAGAAGTGTTAGTTAAATAGTGGCTTGGAACCTAGCAACAAGATTTTTTATCTGAAAATCTCGATAGTGGTGAACTCAGTTTCCTTGTTCATGAACATAACATTGCCCAGGGACAGTGGAATATTAGGAGAACCCTGGGGAAAGCTGACTGAGGAGGAATGGTCAGGAGACTGAGAAGAAACTTTAGAAGTGAAAAGCCAGGAAAGCAGTGTTTTGAAAGAAAATGGAATAATGTTGTATTAGTTCTCTACTCCTGTGCAACAAATTTACCAGAAGTTGAATGGCTTAAAACAACACTCATTTATTAACAATTCTGTAGGTCAGAAATCTGATGCAACATGACTGGTTTCTCTGGTTAGGGTCAAATCTGCTTTCAAGCTTGTTCTTGTGGTTGGCAGGATTGCAGGTATGGTTCCTGTTTCCTTCTAGCCTGGAATCTTGGAGAGCCACCTTAGAATTCTGCTTACTATAAATGATTTATGAAGGACAAATGTCAAGTAAGAATTATAAAGTGTCAGTTGGTCGTGGGTGGTTAATGGACAGAGAGGCAAAAAATATAAAGAACCCAGGTACTCTCCAGATGACCAGCAAACCACATCTGGCTCACCTGGTTCCCTTTTTGCTCCCTTTTCTCCAGTTCTGTTTTCAAACTTAGTCTGATCTAGAATTGCTTAACAGATCTTCAGTCAGAGGAGGAGGGCTTCCTGTTTGCAAATTGCTTTAGGTTTTAAAATCTTAGAAACGTTGTAGGTACTTTGAGGATATCTATTTTACCATAGTTGACCAAAATAATTTACCCCTTAAGCTGTGAGGTCTTTAAAGTCAGAGGACTTGGCTTTTTTCATCTTTGCATTTAGTGCCCCTGGCATTGGCCTGGTGCATAGAGAGCCCCCAGTTATTTCTCTAGCTTACCAGACTTCTTAAAACTTACTAGACTTATGACTGTCCCTGTCATTTGGTCAGATTGTGTCATTTTTTCTCATTACCCTACAGAAGATAGTTAACCATTACAAATATATGTATGTGTTTAAAAGTTTAAATGAAGTATAACAAAAATACAGAGAAGTGCATAAACACTGTGTCCAGTTTTCTGAATTTTCCAAGTAAACATGCCATGTAACAGCATCCCGTTCAAGAAACAGAGCATATCACCAGAGTCCCCTGCAGCTCCTTTTTATGTCCCCTACCAATCATTATTTCTCTGTAATGGTAACCGCCATGCTGACTTCTAACCCCATAAACTTGTTTTATTAAAACTTTATGTAAATATTAGAATCATATAGTATATACTCTTCTGTGTTAGGCTTCTTTCACTCAGCATTGTATTAAAACAATTCATCTATTCTATTCTAGAACTGGAGTCTATTCATTATCTTTGTTTTATGATATTCCATTCTATGAATCTGTAACAAATTTACTTAATCATTCTATTCTAGATGGATATTTGGGTTGTTTCCGGGTTTGGGCTATTACGAATAATGCTCTTTTGAGGAACATATGTTTGCATTTCTACAGGGGATATGTCTGGATGCAGAATTGCTGGGTCATAAGATTTGTGAATGTTTGCTTTAATAGATCTTGCTAAATAGTTTTGCAATGTGATTGTATAGTTATACCAAATAATACTTCCACCAACAGTGTTTGTGTATGAGTTGTTCCCACATCTTTGCTAATGTGCAGTATGTGTGCCTTTTCCAATTTAGCCATTTTGGTTTTATTTTCATTTCTTTGATGATTAGTGAGACCAAGCACCTTTTTATATGCTTTCTGGACATTTGAATATCTTGTTGAAGTCTCTTGTGGACGTGTACTGCTACTAATTTATAAAGGTCCTTTCTGTATTCTCTGTACAAGTCTTTTGTTGAAAAAAATATTTAGTGTATATATTTCTCCCATTCTGTGAGTTTTTGTTCTTGCTCTGTGTTTTGGTAAACAGATGTTCTCAATTTAATTAGCTTTATTAAAATTTTTCCTTTATGGTTATTGCTTTTGTGACCTATTGAAGATATTGTTTCCTACTCTGATATGAAATGAAAATCTCCTATGTTCTCCTACTTACCTGGCAGGGAAGATACCATGATCACGAAGGTGGTTTTCCCAGGGCGAGGCTTATCCATTGCACTCCAGATGTGCTGACCCTTGCGATTTCCCCAAATTTGGGAAACTCGACTGTATAATTTGTGTAGTGGGGGACTACATTAGTGCTTTCCCCTGGAAAAACAAAAAAACTCCTATGTTCTTTTAAAGGCTTATTGTTTACCTTTTACATTTAGATCTACAGTACATCTGGAATCAATTTTTGTGTATGGCGTGGCAAGGATGAAGGTCTCTTTTTTGCCACGGGGATATAGAGTTGACTCCAATATCCTTTATTGAAAAGAGCTTCCTTTCACTGCTGCAGTGTTACTATTTTCATAAATTTGGTGACTATTCATATGTGAATCTGTTTCTGGACTTTCTATTTTGTTTCATTTGTCTATTTGCTTATCCTTGTGCCAATAACTACACAGTCTGATTACTACAGCTTTTTATAATAGTTATCAATATCTGGTAGTAGAAGTTCCCTAGATTTATTTATTTTATGCTACCTAGATTGCCTTGGCATTTTTGGCCCTTTTCATATAAATGTAATTTTAATTCAACAAGTATTTACTGACCACCTATTTATATGTGCTAGGCACAGTGATAGATGCTGGGAATATAGCTATCAGTAAGATAGGCCTGGTTGTTCCTTATAGTTGGAGTGAGTGAGAAGAGCGACTGGCATAGAGCCCCAAGGAACTCAATATTTAAAACCAGTTAGTAAAAAAGGCAAGAGAGAGAGAGAGACTGATTGAGAATAACCCCAAATGTAAGAAAACCAAGAAAGGACAGCATGAAGGAAGCAAAGGGAAGAAGGTATATCCAGATGGTGTGGTCAGCTATGTCAGTGTTACTGCAAGGTCAAGCAAGATAGACTGACAAAACATCCACAGGACTTAGCTCTCAGTGGCTACTTCAGACTTAATGAAGCGGGTTCTGTGGAAGGATGGGGTGTGTGTTTTTATTAGATTGTAAATTCTTAGGTGGGAACAAAGTCCCTTGTTCAATTAGTGCTTAATGAATGTTATGTCATGATGATAATCAAATGATCTGCATACTGCTGAATATCATAAGGGCCAAAATGGTATTCTATTTTATACCACTCCCCTTCATACCATTCTTGGCAGGTGATAAAAGTAATTTCTAAATGGAGGATAATTTAATACTTACTCAAACCTTGGCTGTTTTAGACCAAAAACTGTACTTCATCCATCCATTTATTCATTCATTTAGCAAGCAAATATGGAGCGACTACTGACTACCCAGGACTTGAAAGCTTTGTGCTAGAGACGTTAAGTAGGGAAGGAAAGAAAGGAAACCCAGAAAGACATATTTGACCCATGTATATCTCAGTAACTCTGAAATCTCAATTTTTACAGCCTTCCGAAACTATTCAAAAGGGGTATATGATTAAACTCTTATGATCCCGACGATAAATTACAGAAAATGCTTCCTTCCTGGTTAAATAAAAAACAAGATTTCAGTAGGGAAGGTCTTGTCCTTGTAGGGAGTCCTTCTGTAATTTATTGTTTACTTGGTTATTTATTTATACTTTGAAATTTTTATTTGGATCATTTTCTTTTTAGATTTGAGTGCTCATTTTAGGAAAGGAAGAGCAGAGATGGGTTCATTTTCAAATACAATAAAATTATATTAAGTATGTGTATGAATTATTTAACTTGTAATTATTTATTGTCTTTTATCAAGTGTCAGGGACCAAAGTTTATTTTTCTTCATTGTGATAATTATTAGTAGACCTAAATTTGGAGTCAGGTGTATTAATAAATGTCCAAGTGAACCATTTTCAAGTACACCTGAATAACTTAAGAATTTCTATTTTACCAATAACATCTTGACATTTTAAGTTAACAAATTTTAGAAAACCTATTTCTTGAAAGTTTTTGTAAGGATTTTATGAGGGTACTTTTTTTTTTTTTTACTTAATTGCTATATTTGAAAATGTAGAACTTTAGTAGGTTACTGAAGTCTTCAAGAATCAGATTAACCTTGAGTTGATCCTTACAGGCTCTGTAATGCAAATAGTAAGGATAGCACATTGGCAGAAGAGAAGCTTTCTTAAGGAGGGTAGAGTAAGAGGAAAAAATGGGGAATATAAGATATGTTGACATTAGGAAAAAGAAAAACATTTAGTTGTCTCAAAAAGAGCTTTTGACCGATTGATTCAAAATGACTCTTCCTCTTAAATTGTTAGCTTTGTTTTTTTCCTTAGTAGTAACTAGAAATACAAACTACTAAGTGCTGCAAATTTGCTGTCTCTGGTAATATTTTAGTTCTAATTGGTGGAGAAGGGAAATAGGAAATTAAAGCAGTTTTAAATGATGCTTAATATTTTTAGTTCTAAGTTCAGTCAGCATAGTCATCAACTGTCATTTACTCCGATCCCCTTAGGTGAGTGGCATTGAGCCAAATCTCACAAGAAATACATTCTGCTTATGTGAGCAAACTGGTAGTTGAACTATTGCTCTAAGAAGCTGTAGATAATGACAGTTGATATTAATATGTTGTGAGATTTCTGCCTTGGGGTCATGAGGTTTGAGAGAGGAAAAATGTACATGCACCCTAAAAATTAAATAGAAACTGTATCTACTTTCTGTTTTGAATAAAGAAGTCACTGTCCTATGAGTGAAACACAAAACATGTCAAATTATTTTTTAATATTTCATCAAATACTATTTTAGCTTAAAAGTGTTGAATTTTGACTGATTTTATGAATAATGCAAAGTAAACTTAATTTTGACAAGTAAAATAAGGAGGTAAGTTGATTCAGAGCACATCAAGTATAATCTTAACTGATTTGTGCCTTCTTTGAAAACTCAAGTTACAAAGAAATCTTGGTAGATGTCAAAAATTTGTGACTAAATTCTATTTATACTTGACTTTCAAGGTTAATATCATATTTAAGGTATTTTTCATTCAATAACTTTAAAATTGTTTCTTTTAATATGGTCAGATTTTAATTATTTATCTTTCCCCAGTAGTCCCTCCTTCCCTTATCTCTCTCCACCTCATTCTCTTTTGCTGTGGTAGCATTCCTATTGCTGGCTACCCAGTCTTTACCATTCTAATACCATTTAAGGTAGCTCTGCTGGGTTCATTTGAGTCCTACAATCCAGTTTCTCTTTTAACCCGGCTTCCTAAATCAAGTTGACAAACCAGTTTCTTTTTCTCCTTTTCAACAACTCGTGATTTAGATTGGTTAGGAAGATATAATGTTATCCGGGTAACCACCTCTTCCCCTTAGAATCGGTATTTGAGAGGCTTCCTCCTTTCGTTGCTGAACGTGCTTAAGTCTGGCACAGTACCTTGTGAAGGACTTCAGCCCCCACAGTTCCTTGTGTGCGCATGCCCTCTCTTCTTACAGTTGTCAAAGTGCTTTTGCCAGAGCGGTCACATAATCAACCTGAAAGAAGAAAATAAATACTGTACACTTTAAACTTTTATCGATCCTTAAAAACTGGACACTCAAAGGTAACTGCTACTAAGAATTTGTTACTTAAGATCGGGTAATTGCATGTAGAGGAAGATCTATTGTGTGTGTGATGGGGGGAGGGGAAGGAGATATCTATTTCTCGGACTTTGCTGTAAATAAGAAAAAACAAAAAACAAAAAACCCCGACCCAAAAAAACTATACAAGCAGTTACTGAGAGGCATTGCATATTAACTTTGTAAATGTTATCTTAATCTATTGCTTGCCTTTTGTTTAAAAGGGTATATTTATTAAAGATGGGTCTTGACCTTGACAGAGTGAATTTATGCAGAAAGTGAAATTTATATCTCTAAAGAATGTTGAAACGAGAAATAGGTGTTCTTGGTAGGATATAATTTTTAAAATTCAATAAATATGTTAATTATATTATTTATAAAATACTCCTTGAGTCCAGTTTACTTTTTAGCTTTTTTGTTATAGTACAACATTAATTTTTCCACCAAGAGCATGTAGTTTAAACTGGAGGCATTAACAAAAATCATTGATACAACCTCCAGAAAAGCTGGGTAATATTAAAATTATAATTAAATGCATATTTCAGCCATGATGATATGGCTATTGTAAAGACAATTCTAGCCCTCTGGAAGCGACTCAAATCCTGGATTCTAATGGTTTACTGCAGCATTGCCTTAAACCAAGGATGAAAATGTCTCTTTCTATAACCATACCCTAGAACTTTGTGCTGTTGTGATTCCAAGCCTCGCTTGCCTCTTTGTGTCATATTTTACACTACTGAGCAAAGCCATTGTTTTAAAGCAAGGGAACTGAGGAACATAAAATCAATTTTAAGTAGTTTTATTCGTAGTAGTTGGCAGTTTGTGATGTATATCTTATTGGGTTGGGTTTTCTTTGGGGGGTTTGAGGGGCAGGAGTGTAGAAAGAGTGAGCTGGCTGTGAAGAATTTTCTTGAGCCCCCTATTTTGTTTATGTGTGAAACTTTAAAATGAAATATTAACCATTTTAAAGATAGTCTTTAATGAAATAGTAGAACTACTTTTATCTCATTTCTCAGTCTGACATATTTTACTTAATAGTTAAAAGTGGTAGCATCTCCATTTTCCTATATACATTTATTTTATAAGTTATTATAGTGAGGATGTCCATAGGCAGAGCTTCTGTATCTGAATGTCCTTTCTCAAGTGTTCTAAGATGCTTCTCTAACCGAGTTAATTAACTGCATTAAATATATTAATAACTTTGTTGCAATTGTACTGAATGGTCATCTAAAAATAACTGTTTGATCATGTGCTTCTTTATTCGAAATATTTGTTCTCAGGGTCTCAGCGTTGTATCATATATTTAAAACAACAACACATTCTAAACGACAGACTAAGTGATAACTATGTGTATGGAAATCTGATTTTAAGTGATTACTATTTTCATCCTTGAATGAGAAAACAGGCTGTATGGCAGAGGTGAATATAGACCTATGCGAAATGGAAAATACCATACACTCCTTATATGGCTAAATGAAGCAGTGATGGCAGTGCACTATAATTACAATGTATGAGAATTTGGGACTTTGTACTATGCTATTTTTGACACTTTTGCTAGCATATGGTAATTCAGGGTCTTCAAACAGTGATCTTTTATGGCTAATACTAGTTATAAGAGAATGGATTCTAAATTTGCTGAAGTCTTGTGACCAAGGCAGCAGCAGGGAGATTCAAAATTGGAAATCTGACAACCCCAGAATTATCTTGACTTTCTCCTTAAATCTCAGAGGGATATTTTTTTAAAGCCCCACCCCACCTCACAGTGTCTCTCTCTCTCCCTCTCATTCTCTGACCTCAAATTCAACCAGAAAAATTTCTCCACTCTGCAGAGAAATTCTCAGGCTTCTGTTGATACGTGAACCACTGAGATGCTAGGATACTCTTGTGCGGCAGAATTGGCGACAAGAAAATTGGAGAATGAGCAGGAAAATTCTAATCCTTAAAGTAACAAGCACCAAACACTCCCAAACGTTTCAGTAGAATTTTACCTTTTTTAAAACGGTGGGTTTTTTTTGTTTTGTTTTGTTTTGTTTTATGTCTCCTAACAAAATGGAGTAGCTGCAGCTACTGGGAGGCCAGAGAATGATTGTGCAGCTGAGTCCTCCTCCTAACATATGCCAAGGATTTCCTCCCTCGTGGTTCGCTGCTGCTAAATGAAACAATTACCAATGCAGGAAGGTAGTTTGCTAATCAAGAGGAATGACTGCTATTTCTTTAAAGTGCCTGAGCAGGAAAAGGGAAGAAGGGGTCTTGTGCGGTGTCTGTCTTTTTAACCTTGCTGAAGGACGCAGCAGTATTTATTGACGTATGCAAATAACTGGGGGAGGGTGGTGCTTGGGAAAAAACAGGAACCAGAATCAGTTTCTCATTGCTGGGTGAACGCTCTGAGTTCCGGTGAAGGGAGAAGAGACGTGGCGAAATTGCTGTCTTTCTGTCTTATAAGCACATCTCTCACTAGTACAGAAAAGGAACCAAGACATCAGAAAGGGTGAAGACGCTCTCAGTATTTTTAGAGACCTTGCACGAGCCCCACCCCCACCCTGACTCGTTCTTCTAAACGAGAGATTATGGATTTGCGTTGCAATTGGCTAGTAGCGTGGCACTGGATTTTCGCAAGTAAAACACCCGCTCGCTTCAGAGAGGGGCAATAACCATCACATTGACAATAACGCGTCTCTTTTTTCCCGTTTCAGCTGCGCAAACCATGCAGGATGATTTACTGATGGACAAAAGCAAAACCCAGCCCCAGCCCCAGCAGCAGCGGCAGCCCCAGCCCGAGCCCAGCGCAGCCGAAGCCCCATCCACGTCCCTCTCCTCAGAGACCCCCAAGCCGGAGGACAGCAGCGCAGTGCCGGCCCTCAGCCCCGCCGCGGCCTCGCCGGCCCCCAACGGCCCCGACAAGATGCAGATGGAATCGCCGCTCCTGCCGGGCTTGAGTTTCCACCAGCCGCCTCAGCAGCCGCCGCCGCCGCCACCGCCGCCACCACAGGAGCCCGCGGCACCGGGCGCGTCGCTGTCGCCGTCTTTTGGCAGCACCTGGTCCACGGGTACCACGAACGCGGTGGAGGACAGCTTCTTCCAGGGGATCACCCCAGTCAATGGGACCATGCTCTTCCAGAACTTCCTGCACCATGTCAACCCAGTCTTCGGAGGCACCTTCTCCCCGCAGATCGGCCTGGCGCAGACCCAGCACCACCAGCAGCCGCCGCCCCCCGCGCCGCAGCCCTCGCAGCCCCCGCAGGCGCAGCCCCCGCAGCAGCGCCGGTCGCCTGCCAGCCCCAGCCAGGCGCCCTACGCTCAGAGGAGTGCTGCCGCGGCGTACGGCCACCAGCCCATCATGACCAGCAAGCCGTCCTCGTCGTCCGCCGCAGCAGTGGCTGCGGCTGCAGCCGCCGCCTCATCTGCCTCATCCAGCTGGAACACGCACCAGAGTGTGAATGCCGCCTGGAGCGCGCCCTCCAACCCTTGGGGTGGCCTGCCAGCAGGCAGGGACCCTCGCCGCGCGGTCGGCGTGGGCGTGGGTGTGGGCGTCGGGGTGCCTTCACCTCTCAACCCTATCTCACCGCTCAAAAAGCCCTTCTCCAGCAATGTTATCGCGCCACCCAAGTTCCCCCGCGCGGCCCCACTCACCTCCAAGTCCTGGATGGAGGATAACGCTTTCCGGACCGATAATGGTAACAATCTGTTGCCATTTCAGGTAATGCTCCAGTGCACTTGCATACGCCTTCCTCCTACCCCGCTCCCTTTGCTCCTTTTTCCTTGCCTTTTAATTGTCCACTGATTTTTATTCTTCAAAAAAGGCAGAGATGGCCAGCTTTCCTGCTCCTTTCCAAAGCTCCTTTCCAAAGCTCCAGTTCAGTGGATCCCATTACCAGGGATAAGGGCGTAAGGGAACATTGTGACTGCTAGAGTAATTGTATTTATGCACCCTGACAAGATAGAAAAGCTCCTTTTAGTTTTTTCCTTTCATCATGTTTATGCCTCTTATCTTGACCTTCTTTGACAAGTAAAGCTGCAAGTGTGTGGCAAGGTGCCGGCATTGTTCCAGGATGACTAGGCTGAGATTCCTGTCGTTTTAAGTAGCTACACATTGCAGGTTTTGCAGTCCCATGCTCAAGGTGCCGCCTGAAAGCTGTCCACTCCCGAACCACCCTGGCCATATTCTTAAAGAGGTTAACAGCCCTTGAGTGGTGCTATTTCAGACAGTTACACATGCTCAATAAAACTAACGTGAACACATGTATTTATGTCTCGCCAAGGTGCTGGCATCATTAATAGCAATCAGCATATTGTCCCTGCTGGGAAAATTACGAGTGTGAGATTCCAATAAACACCGGAACTCTTATCAGGGACCAAGATGGAACAGTGTGGAAATTCTAGGGGTAATCCTTCTCAATGTTACCGAGAGGGACTTAGAAATTGTTTTTTTTCCAGAGGAAACAGACAATAGGACGCGACCTTCAGAGCCATATTGCAATGGAGTCTATTTGCTAGCTAGCACTGAAATATTTAAAGCTGCAGTGTCCTTCATTTGGGTCATTTAAGAAGACAATGCAGATCAATTACACCATTTGAAACTGGGCAAAGTGAAAGTCTTGCAACTTTAATGAAAAATGAGCCTTGTGTCTTGGTGTTAAATGGCAATGAAAACCCCAGGAAGTGCCCCAGACAAAATGGTTGAATGGAGTGTCCTTATTCTGTTCTTGTTTTCTAATCCAGCCCACGCCACATCAGTTGGCCGTGTCCTGAACATGTTGAGTTGAAAAGGGGTGGTGAGGGTTGTTCACTGGGTGTTTTTGTTCTCAGGCAAAATTTATCCTTCACTTACAAACTGATTTGGCCATAAGCTTCTAGGCTCAGTTAGAAAATGAAGGAAGGAGAGAGGAGGGCTTTGGATGAGACCTGATTTGGGTGGTCAAAGAAATGAAACAAATCTTTGAGCATTCCTGAAAAATGGCAGAAACGACATTTGACAGAGGTAGTTTAAAGCGTCAGGTGCAATTTGAGCCTTCATTTTATTGCCCTTTACATTTCAGATGTGATGTTTGGGGTGGCTCCCATCACTGAAGGGGGAGATAGGGTTATTGAGAAGCACATGATTCTCTAGTTTAGAGCAAGGATTTTTAACCTTGACAGTTCAAGCGGGTCCATGAAACCCAAAAGTTGTGTGTATGAGAGTTTTTAATGAGGATTTTACCAAATTTTCACAGGTGTTCTTCCTTCAAGAATGGAAGATTTCAATATAAATGTGTATTTCCTTTAATTACTCTAAAGTTTATCTTAATAGAATGAGACACTGCAAGGTGGGATTAGTTTGGTAGATACAGAAAAAGAAGAATCTGCTTTCTGGAATTTATCTTTGTGCATATTTTTGTGGGGGTGCAAATTTTTATGGGAGCATGGGGTAGGACAGGGAGTCTGCATTTGAAAGGACAGCCCCACTTTTTCTAACAGTTGGTCTTTTTTTATTCTGATGTTCCCTATTGAAGTGCAGTCTTAGAGGATAACTTAAAATCTGATAAGGGAGGCCTGGGAACTGAAGTACAGACATCAGTTAGCATGTTTGAAGAGTTGAATCTGAATACAGCTAGCTTTTGATTAATTATCTCCAGAAATGGGGACTAGGGAGAGATTAAAGCTATCCCCCAAACTGATACTGACAAGTAGTGTGAGGATTGCCAGTTGTTTCTCAGCAAACCATTTACCAGCAATGCTAGTGAGAGCCAGGTAGACTGGACTGAGTTCGGTCTCTATAGTTTTTTCATCCCTAGTGGTGCTATTGAGTAGGCAAAGATGGCTAAAAGGTTTGTAGGGGGAGCAATTTGATTGAAAATTGAGCTTTATGTATTTGGCCTTGGGAAGACCTACATGGACTTTATGTCTCATTTCTTTTCCTTACTTAAAATGGAGCTTCTGGGTTTTAGAGCAATATTAGAACCAGAGTAGGAGTAATCTGGTTGTGTTTTGGTTTGGAATATTATATCAGACTTGATTTGTGTTGATAAAGTATATCACACATATTTTTTTAAACATATTGAGTCTTGTGTGCAGAATTTTACATTTTTGTGCATTTATTAAAATAATTTTTCTGCAAAAGGGAAAATAAGTAGTCCTAATGACTTTTTAAATATTTGTTTATTTTCACAAATAGGATTTTTTCTTTAAATTGAACAGTTTATTTCATAGAATACCAACTTTGATTTTTTATTTAATTTTATTTCACAGATTCTTTGAGTTAAGAAAGCTTTCAACAGTGGTCTACTCTTATGTATCTTAGTATTTTTAAAACAAATTTAATTCCCCCTTCCACCTTCCCTGCCCTGTGCTGCTTCACTGTCTTTTGCCAGCCAACACAATAGATTTTTTGGAGCTTGACTTCTATGAAGACTATTTGAATGTGGTTTTTCAAACTACATATGCTTCCTTACCCCATTCCCTCAAGTCTAACAAAGTTGATTGGTTTTCCTGGGTTGGAGTGGCTGCTTTCTTAGGGATTACTTGTACCGAAAAGCTACTTTATTTCTACAAATAAGGAAACTGAGGTCTTCAGAGGTAGAGTGACATAACTCAGGCCCTAGAGCTTTGGCTAATTTTGTTGATGTGTGTCCTTAACTTCCCTATAGCACTAGTGCTGTCAGGTAGAATTCATTTTAAGTCAGATTCTCTTTGGACTCTATTCAAAGGGACTTAGTCATGGAACTAGATAGTGAGCTTCTCTATCTGGCTGATGCCTTTTAGTTTTGTACCTCTCACCAGCAGAGCTTACAGTGAGGCACACTCCACTGGAGGAATTACACATATGCATCATTTTATATTTACGTGAGATAGGGAAGCCTAGGTCTGTAAAAGGACTAGAACAGAGATGTTTTCTGTGTAGTGAATTTGGGTTTAAATATCATTATGTGCTTAGAAGTTTAGAAGGGACTTTTGAGAGAACCTGTTTCACCACTCTGCTTATTTTCCAGAGGATAAAATCAAAGTCTATATATGTGAAGTGACTTGCCCAAGTTCAGGTAGATAGTTTCTATCAGAAGCAGGCTTTGGAGGCAGATGGCCTAGGTTTACATCTCAACTATGCCACTTACTGGCATCATAACATTGTTATGTATGTATGTTGACCTTCAATTTCTTCATCCTTAAAATGGAAATAATAATAATTCCTTCATATGAATTCAAATGAGAAGCCATGTTAAAGTGCTTGGCCCATAGTAAAATACCACATAAATAAATATTGGGTTACAATTATTGTTGTTGTTATGGTAATCAGAAGCTCTGCAGGATCTTACAGTATGAGTTACTGATTTTTCATACAGCATGAATCTGAATAACCCCAAACTTCTGTGTAATGTTATTTAGTCTTTTTTTCAGCCTGAGGCTACCTCTGGTTTCTATAACACGTGGTAATCCATCATTTGTTCTTGGGCCAGGCCCTGTGCTAAATACTTTACATGTACTTTCTCACTGGAACTCCTTTGAGGTAGGGAACTATTATTATCCTCATTATATTGACAAAGAAATGGAAGGTTAGTGCATTTACATTATTTGCTCAAGATCACACAGCTAGTAACTGATGGATTTGGGATTTGGACCCAGGCAATCTGCCTCCAGAGCCAGTGGAGGTTTATAATACCTTGGCTCTAATATGTCCAGAACAACAGTTAACAGTGTAGTCAGGAGAAGCAGAAGACTGGGCTGAATCTGTACTTGACCTTATGATATACCCTAGAAATTGTTTAAAAAAATTTTTATATTGATAGAAATGGAAGAAGAAAAATATAGTGTGCATTCATATACTACCACTTAAATTCAGCAGTAGAAATAGTTTTTCCTGTTTATTTATTTATTTAATATATTTTTAATCATTGTATTTTTGGAAAGAAATTCAAATTATGTTCTGCTTTCTGTCTGTATCTCTGCCTTTGTTCCTCCCTTTTACCCCCAACCCAAAATGAAAGTAATTTATATAAATTTTATATTTTCTGGCATAAGCCTAGTTAAATGTAATTGGTGTTAATTTTGCTGGATTATATAATAGAGGAAGAAATTCCTTACATGAAGTCATGAGAATATAAGTAATTTAAAAAGTAAATATGCCTAGTCATAATAAATTTTGAGGAGACATCAATATTTTTCAGCTAGTATATGCTCCTTTAAAAAAATCTTTTCAGAAAGTAATGTAAATTGTCTAGTTTATGCTTGCTTTTGAATAAGGATAGTATGACCTACATTTAAAACTGGAGACTCTTCTGTAGTTGGTTTCTTAACTACCGCTCTAATGCAAAACCATTTAAGGTCCACCCAACCCCACAAACTGTTTCACAACCTATTATGGTATGGTTAATAAGAATGACAGCAAAACCACATTATCTATATTCTGTTTAAGAGAGGGATTGGTTGGAAATATTAGGTTTTCTATGCTACTGAAAACATTAATAATATAAACTATACTTCAAAATTGCATGTTGAACAGTAGTTAGCTTTAAACTCTTCATGACCTTGCAGTGAGTTGATAGAAAAGTACAGTCTCCAAAATGTAATGTTTTTAGATTTCCTCTAGGACACAATTTTATACTTAAGTAGCTTTCTCCATTGGTTGGAGAAGGTTTTGTTGTTGCTTAAGGGCTGCGTAAGGTATAATGCTTGTTCATTTATACCTTGTCATTACTTAGGTGTTTTTTATAGTATTTTGATCTGCAATTTACTATAAAAGTGTCAAAGATGATGGCTTTGTTTACTCCAACATGAACATTTTGATTAAGCCATGTGGATTATACGAAGAAAGAGATGGCGGAGAGCATAGAGTAGTGGACAGCCCATGAAGCTTGGAATGGGGAAGACACTGATTGAAGCCTCAACTCTGTCACTGGTGATTGGGGTGCGTTCATTTATCCAACGATTCTTTTTTCCAGTCTGCAAAAATGGAGAGAGTGCCTATCTTCTGGATTTATGAGAGAATGTGTACAAAGTGTTCAGAAAATTAGATACTGTTATGGTTCTTTGTTGCCTTCCTAACTACCTGTAATTATAGTCAATTACAGCTTAATAGAGGACATATTGTTGATAATCAGTAGTCCAGAATTAAATACTAGTTAATCACATCTGGAAGTGGAGAGGGACTAGAAAGATGTGTCCAGCAGGGATGGAAGAGCAATGAAAGGCTCTTTGTATACTATGGTGACTGCCAGTCCTAGAATGCCAGTCGTGGTGCTCTGAGAGCTGGGAAGTATAGGCTCTGTCATAGGAATGGTGTATATTTGTAACGACCTGCTTCTGCTTATGGCCGACTCACC